GGGTCTGCAGTGGGAAGTTGTCACCGATGGAAATTACCACTTAAGTCTGGATCCAGCCCATGTAGTATTGGGAGCCCCACCAAATGACCTTACAACACAGTCTGAAAAGCACAGTGGTAGGGCACTCAGACTTTAGCGGCCGAGTGTGTAAATCCTCAACTTTTTTTTGGTATTTTTGCATCTGTGTGTGCATGTGACCGGGCCTGGAAGTCATACTGACCTCTGGCGACTCCTACTGGGGCATGGAGGACATTCAGAGAAGTGGCTTGATAGCCCGCCTCTGCCTCCCGACCAATGTTCCCTCTAAACCACGGAGTCTTGTGAGCAAAAATTCTACTTTGTGAGCTACACTGGTATTAAAGTTGTGGGCGAGCGATCTGGCTCCTGCATAAATTAGTTTGCTCTGGAGCCCTCCTTCCTGAGCAAAGACAAAAATGTGTGAGCCGGAGGCTAAAGAACTGTGAGCTGGCTCACACTAACTCAGCTTAGAGGGAACACTGCTCCCGACCCTGGTATTCTTCGAAGGTCTCCCATCCAAATACTTGCCAGGGTCGGCCCTGCTTAGCTTCCGAGATCTGACGAGACCGGGCTTGCCTGGGCTATCCAGGTCAGGACGTAAATCCTCATGTTGACGACCCTTCCCATTTTACAACTTGGAGAACTAAGGGCACTGAGACTTGGCCCTAAGACTGCTCACAAGACAATAAGAAGAGCCCCGCTGGATCAGTGGCTGAGCAACAAACCGAGTACAGGTTTCCCAAGGCTCTTCTCTACCTATGTTGCATCACAACAGCACTGCCTCCCATACTGAATCGCAAGATACTGTGCAGAGCTTGTGTAGACAGCAAAGGAAGGCAAATAGGACAGGAAGGTTAAGATGGATGGTTGTGTTTGCCAGTTTTGGGGCCTCCATCCCGGCCAAGCCATGCCTCTTAATACAACCAATCTCCTGCCCAAGATCCATTAAATACATCCTGTGGGCAACTCTTCGTTCCCAAAACTTGGACCCTTTTTGTCAAGTGGAACAAAACCTTGGCTCAAGTCAGATGCAGCCCCGCTATGAGGTAAGGTGAAAAAGCTGCCTCCGGCAGATGATTTTGGGCACCATTACGGCTGGCAGATGGGAGACGGGCAGAGCTGATCTACAGGGACTGATCTGCCGCGAGATCTCCGCAGCAGATCACGTTCATGTTAATAGTGGGGAAGGAGGTCACTGACTGTTCAGATTCCTCACCTCTAAAAGAGTTTTCAGCCACGCCAGATTCACGTTCAGGGGTTTCCCCCATCCTTTCTTCCAAATGCAGTCTGCATTGCTACCATTTATCTCTGATCCACCAGGGATCCTGCAGTTCAGAGCTGGACAGATTGGATTGTAAATCAGTGGATAAGGAGTTAGACACGGAGAGGCAACATGGGGTACTGGTTAGAGCGTTAGACTAGTTGTATGTATACAGGATTCCTCATCGTGAGAATCTCTGCTTTGTTCTTTTTTAAAAAATAAGACAAGATTCTAGTCCTCAAGGCTACAGAGATGTGTTGGGAAGCCTGATGAAGTCTCAGAATCCAGTGAGGAGCTTGAACAGGATTTCCTGTAGCCAGCAGATGGGGTTTCAGCCGTCTCCCACCACTCTTTGCTCCTCCCCATAAGTAGAACAAGGAACAGAATATATTATGCATAATGAATAAGCAAGTGTCTACAGGTTATGTTTTTCCTGATGCAGAAATATGGATTTTCTCCCCCAGTGCAGACTAAATACATCCCTACTCTTACCGGTCAATAAATAATATGAAAGTCTAATCCTCTTGACGGAACCCAGTTCTGTTGCTTATCATTAATATAGATCTTTTAATTTGCAAAGCACTTTATAGTATTGATTGTGTTTTGTCTGCATGACCATTTTATGGGGTGGGACTTTTTTATTCCCATTTTACAGGTGGGGAACTAAGACTGAGGCACAATAACCAGCTGGAGGGAGAACTAGGTACAAATCCTCACTCTGCCATGCAATGCTCCCTCTAAGCTGTGGAGTCTTGTGAGCAAAAATGCTGCCTTGTGAGCTACTGGCATTACAGTTGTGAGCAAGCGATTTGGCTACCGCATAGATTTGTTTGCTCTGAGACATCCTTCCTGAGCTAAGACAAAAATCTGTGAGCTGGAGGCTAAAAACCTGAGCTGGCTCACACTAACACTGCTGCCGTGGAATCTTGCTGGGTGACCTTTGGGTCAGTCACTCTCTCTCTCAGTCTAACCTACTTCACAGGGTTGTTATTGTGAAGATAAAGTGGGGGAGGGGACAGAGATGTAGCAAGCTACTTAAGAGTCCCCACTGGGGAGAAAAGTGGTTTATAAATAAACAAACAAATCTGGCTGCACTGGATTTGCGTCTTGGCTTTCCTGCCTCCAGCTCCTTATTATGTCTCAGTCTTAGCTCCTCACCTGTAAAATGGGGATAAAATAGCCCTACCCCATAAGATTGTCATGCAGGCAAAACACAATCAACACTATAAAGTGCTTTGCAAATTAAAAGATCTATATTAATGGATTCAGAGATTTCATCAGGCTACCCTACATATCTCTGTAGCCTTGAGGACTAGAATCCTCAAAGAACAAAAGCAGACATTCTCAGGATGAGGAATGCTACCCTACATATCTCTGTAGCCTTGAGGATTAGAATCTTGTCTTCTTTTACACAAAGAACAAAAACAGACATTCTCAGGATGAGGAATCCTGAACACATACAACTTCCTGTACTCAAGTGGAACTGGAGAGACACACAGAATACACTGGAAACCTCAGAATGGTTCACACACACAAAGGTGCTCACAAGCACACATGCACATACATTGCATTAAAGGTAAAGGTTTCCCTTGCTCGAAAGCCAGTCGAATCCGACTCTAGGGTTGCGGTGCTCATCTCCGTTTCAACGCCGAAGAGCCAGCGCTGTCCGAAGACGTTTCCGTGGTCATGTGGCCGGCATGACTAAACACCAAGGCGCACGGAACGCTGTTACCTTCCCACCAAAGTGGTACCTATTTATCTCCTTGCAATTTCTTGCTTTCAAACTGCTAGGTTGGCAGGAGCTGGAACTAGAGACGGGGGCTCACTCCGTCATGCGGCACACTCAGGGCTCGAACTGCTGACCTACCGACCTTCCACAGCCTGCAGTTCAGCATCTTAACCACTTGAGCCACCGCAGCTTGCATTACATTGCATTAGTGGCCTGCAATTGCTATAGTCACAACGGCTGGCAGCCTTATGGGTGAATAGACTCAGTGGGTAATTCCAGCACTGTGGACTGGACTAAACTGGCAATTTCCACTGACTACCCCTTCCTGATGCAGTTCCTCCTGATGTCATTCCTCTGGGTCCCCGATCCCCCAGGGGCCGCACTGCATAGAGATCGGTGGGCTACAGTGGGAGGAGGGACAGGAAAGTTCCATTCTGCTGACAGAAAACTCAGTATGAACCCGACTCTGTACCTGAGAGGATAAGGAAGTTCTATCACATAAGGCCCTTTTCACAAGTGGTGGTAGTCACCAAGCGAGGAAGACACATATGTGCAAACCAGTCCATGAAAACTCAGGATAATAATCCAGCCCATTCGGTTCGGAATCACCCGTATCCCCACCTTTCGACCTCTTTTGGTGTAGTGGTTAAGTTTGGTGTAGTGGTTAAGTGTGCAGACTCTAATCTGGGTGAACCGGGTTGTGTTCCCCACTCCTCCATTTGCACCTGCTGGATGACCTTGGGCAAGCCATAGTTCTGGCACAGCTGTTCTTGAAAAAGAGCAGTTTCTGTCAGAGCTCTCTCAGCCCCACCTACCTCACAGGCAGTGTTCCCTCTAAGCTGAGTTAGTGTGAGCTAGCTCACAGTTTTTTAGCCTCCAGCTCATGCATTTTTGTCTTAGTTCAGGAAGGATGGCTCCAGAGCAAACTACTTTATGCAGTAGCCAAATTGCTTGCTCACAACTTTACTGCCAGTAGCTCACAAAGTAAAACTTTTGCTCACAAGACTCCACAGCATAGAGGGAGCATTGCTCACAAGGTGTCTGTTGTGGGGAGGAGAAAGGGAAGGAATTTGTAAGCCACTCTGGGGTAGTGAAGGGCAGGGTATAAATCCAATCTCTTCTTCTTCTCTTCTTTTTTAATAATATCAAGCAAATACAAAAACAGTACGGGGCAGGGAGTGGGATCCAAGATCCTCTGATCCGACTTCAGTCCAAATCAGAAAAAGAATCTGACTCCCAAAGTATAACCCCTGTTTTCGCGGCAGGGATAACTCAAGGGAAGGATTTTTCCGGGATTTGAGCTGGGTCGGAACAGTGGCTTTCAAACTGTGTTCCAGAGATTCCCCTGGAGTTCATTGGTGGCTTTATCACTATTTCTGAATGAGAAAATGGTGGCAGAGCTTTTTTTGACATGCAGAGCCAGCCATAGAGAGCTGGAAGTCACTAGTACTGCTTCCAATGTAAAATCACTAGGCAGCACTTGGGAGGGACGTCACTCCCTCTTAGCACCGACCCTCATCTACAATATGGTGATGACACCAACCTACCTTAAAAGGGCTACATTCGATTCCAGTAGCATCTTAGAGACCAACCACATTTTGCGAGGTATAAGCTTTCAAGGGCCAGAGCTCCCTTTTTTGTCAGACGAAAGGGTTGCCGCAAACAGCACAATGACAGCAGGTATGTGAAAATGCTTCCAAATGCTCAAAATTTTATGATAGCGAACAAGCTTCCCTGAAAGATAACTGGTCCACCATAATCGCCCTTGGCAATGTACAGAGGAAGAACACTTAAAAGAGAGGTACAGGAAGCATTCTAGAATGCACCTCTAAGGTGAGACCAAAAAGATGTGGCCAACACCCCAAGTGAACAAGGGTGTCTTCTAGAAAGTGCCTTGCTACATTGGATGCTGAGGTTCTCAGGAGATGAGCCAAAGCAGAAAGAAGTCCCTACCCTCAGATTAAGAGGCCCACCCGCCAGCATCCCCCTTACCTGCCCTGTTGATCTCGATGATCTCCTCTTGAGCAAGGGGGCACGAGTCACCCTGGTTGCTGCGGTGTGGAGACTGCATGCCCGGTTTGCAGTAGTTGGGTGATCCAGGCTGGGGGGCTCGTGGGATGTGCTTGTTTTTTTTCTTTGGTAGTTTCTGCTTGGCCATGGCCAGTGAATAATACATGCCAAAGTTGTTGACAATGACTGGCACAGGCATGGCAATGGTCAATACGCCTGCCAAGGCGCACAGGGCGCCCACCAACATGCCTGACCAAGTCTCCGGGTACATGTCACCATAGCCCAAAGTCGTCATAGTCACCACCGCCCACCAGAACCCAATGGGGATGTTCTTGAAGACGGTATGCTTGCTGCCCGTGATGTCGGCCGGGTCGGCCCCGATCCTTTCAGCGTAGTAGATCATGGTGGCAAAGATCAAGACCCCCAGGGCCAAGAAGATGATGAGGAGCAAGAACTCGTTGGTGCTGGCCCTCAACGTGTGGCCGAGGACTCTCAGTCCTACAAAATGCCTTGTCAGCTTGAAGATCCTCAGGATCCGAACAAACCTGACCACCCTCAGGAAGCCCAGCACGTCTTTGGCGGCTTTGGACGAGAGGCCGCTGAGACCTACCTCCAGATAGAAAGGCAGGATGGCCACAAAATCGATAATGTTGAGGGTGCTCTTGATGAACTCCATCTTATCTGGGCAAAACAAGACGCGCATGAGGAACTCAAAGGTGAACCAAATGACACACATCCCTTCCACATAGGTGAGGAAAGGCGCCGTCACCATCTCTAAGTCCACCTTCATGCTGGTCCCATTCTCCGACTGGATGATCTCCGTCTTGTTGATGATGCGGTTGAAGGTCTCATGGGTCTCCAGGCAGAAGGTGGTGATGGAGATGAGGATGAAGAAGAGGGAGGCAAAGGCCACATACTGGAGAGGGGGAGCAGGGGGGAGGGTCGGGCACAGAGAGGAGACAGACAGAAAGAAAACAGCAACGGGAAAGGGGGGTGTGTGTGACAGGAAAAGACAGGAAAGAGAACTGTTAGTGTTTACTTGGCTGGTGCAGGATAGCAGCTAAGAGGCTGGTTTCTGAATCAGAAAGTCCTCGGTCTGATGACCTCCCGAGATGGTCTTAGGAAAGCCACTTTCCCTCAACTCCCCACCACCACCATCGCCAGTACTAGAATAATTATCCCAACTTTTAATTATTTCAATAATTATACTCTGCTTTTCTCCCCACGGTGGACCCAACATAATGTTCTTCTCCTTTCTACCCTCACAACAACAGTTCTGTAAGGTAGGTTAGGATGAAAAACAGAGACTGGCCCCAGGTCGACCAGAAAGCTGCAGGGGAAGAGTGGAGATTCAAAACTGGCTCTCCCAGATCCTAGCTGAATGCTCTAACCATTATAACCTGCTCGCTCCCAACCTTTCTCACAGCGTTGTCAGACGGATTTCAGAAAGATAATGTATGTGAACTGCTGTGAATACCTGAAAGAACTACAGTTATTACTATTATTGTTATTATTATTATTATTATTATTATTATTATTATTATTATTATTATTGATTCTACCAGAAATAGAGGCATATCTTCTACAGTGGAACATATCTGAATTCAAGCAACAATTCCCACCACCCTCTCTCATTTCTTATTCTTCTCTTCCCTCATTCCAGCAACTGTAAACACCTGTGTGCAAAGCTAAGACTGATATATTTTTATATGTTGTACATCACCTAGATCCCTAAAATAGCAGGGATTGGGTGATTCAATAATAATAAGAAGAAGAAGAAGGAGAAGAAGAAGGAGAAGAAGAAGAAGGAGAAGAAGAAGGGAGGACGAGGAGGAGATCTACACATTAAACAGAATGAGGTGGTAGAAGAAAAAGAAGAGATTGGATTTATGCCCCACCCTTCATTACTCCTTTCCCTTCCCCTCCCCACAACAGACACCCTGTGAGGTAGGTGGGGCTCAGGGAGCTCTTGACATAAACTGCTCTTTTTCAAGAACAGCTCTTGTCAGAACTACGGCTTGTCCAAGGTCATCCGGCCAGGTACAAGTGGAGGAGTGGGGAATCAACCCCGGTTCTCCCAGATTAGAGTCCGTGCACTTAACCACTACACCAAATTGGCTTAACTACTACACCAAACTGGTAGAGTCCTGAGGTATAGAACGGACAGTACAGCTTCAGAGAGCAGATGGAGGAACTCCATTTTTGAATGCTACACTCAGCTTTAAATAAACCCTGCAAGCAGAAAACTAATGCACAAGAGAGAAGGGTAGGCTTGAATCCCTCTGATCTGTTTTCTTCTTGCATGGATTTGTTTTAAAATGTGAGGAACTGACGCATTCAAAACTGATATTCCACCCCACCCCACCCCGTCCAGGACTATCTCATCTCATTTTGCTGTATTTGGAGGCAGATGGGAGAAGGAAAGGTCAAAAATGAGGAACCAAAAACCTTAGTAATGATTCATTATTTCTTGAGAACCAGGTTTCTCAGGGTGTGACATCTGCTTTCCTAAGCACAAATGGATGACTAACAAAGTCCATTTGCAGGGATTTGAGGGGAGAGTCCATTGACTATTTGCCACAGAAGAACCCCCTTAACATTCAGGGACAGTGAAGCTGCAATTGGTCAGACTGAGGCAGGGTTCACAGAGAATGTTCCAGAATCTAGGAGTCTGTGTGCATGACATAGCCAGGTTATGGGTGCACACAATGAAGATGGCAGAACTACTTTACCAGCCAACCTTGTGCACTTTAGGTTAACAGTGAGATGTAAAGGCCCACATATATAATGCAAAGTCCATTTGCAGGGATTTGAGGGGAGGGTCCATTGACTATTGGCACAGAAGAAACCCCTTAACATTCAGGGACAGTGAAGCCGCAGTTGGTCAGACTGAGGCAGGCTTCACAGAGAATATTCCAGAATCCAGGAGTCTGTGTGCATGACATGGCCAGGTTATGGGTGCACACAATGAAGATGGCAGAACTACTTTACCAGCCAAGCCAACCTTGTGCACTTTAGGTTAACATTAACAGTGGGATGTAAAGGCCCACATATATAATTAATGGGCCTGAGACTTTGTACTCTAGTCATGGCCCAGCCCATTCCCTCACGCACACTCTCTTACAAATAAATACACGCACCAAGACCACTCCATATTATGCAAGCTACCATATTTATTTATTTATTTATTTAATTCAATTTATACCCCACCCTCCCCGCAATGCGGGCTCAGGGCAGCTTACAAGTGGCAAACGCTGATATAAAACAAATTTAAAAACATTTATAAATCCCACAACACAAAAACATTCTTAGCAATTATTGACTAGAGTGCTCTGGTCACCTCGAGATTGGACTACTATATGCTATGGTCACCTCGAGATTGGACTACTGCAATGCTCTCTACATGGGGCTGCCCTTGTCCCAAATCTGGAAGCTGCAGCTGGTGCAAAATGAAGCAGCCAGGCTGTTGATGGGTCTCCCTATACGAGGTCACATCCGGCCTGTGCTGAAGGCATTGCACTAGCTGCCAATAGCATACCAGATTCGCTTCAAGATCCTGGTTCTGACCTTTAAAGCCTTATATGGTCAGGGGCCTGCCTACCTGAGGGACCGCCTTTCCCCATATGTCCCCCAGAGAGCACTGAGGTCAGGGTCGCAGAACCGCCTGACTCTCCCTGGTCCGAAAGGCGCCAGATTGGCCTCTACCAGAGCTAGGGCCTTTTCAGTGGTGGCTCCATACTAGTGGAATGAGCTCCCAGAAGACATCAGGGCCCTGCGGGACCTCTTACAGTAAGACAGAGCTCTTCCACCAGGCCTTCAATTAGGAGCCACCACTGATGAACTATTAAAAACCGAATTGCTATGGCCCTCACGCTAATGGCATGAAGAACTACTAAGGATACTGGCTCAAGTACATTGGACCACTATGCAGCAATCGCCATCTGCACTTAATTGCACTTTGTATGTACACTGTTATGTGAATTTTTATAATATTTCCGAGCCTAAACAATCAACAATGATTGTGGTGAACAATGAAGTGGACCTAGGGAGACTGTTTATTTTTTTTATTAAATAATATTTTTATTAATTTTCAATAGTAAACAGAATGCAGTAACAGCATACATAGACTATTGTGTAAAAATACCATTTATTTTTTAAAATTATTTTACTGATTTACAGACCCACAAAAAAATTGCTATAGGTGTATTGAGATTGCTGCAGTGAGGGAACCAAATTCCCTACCTCCTCCAACCAAATCTGCTATAGGGTCAGGGGTCATTGGGGGGGACGCGGGGGGACGCCATCCCCCCGGGTGAGGTGCGGGAGGGCGGGGCCTGGAGCTCCCTGCTGGTGTCCGCTGGAGGTCGCCGCCAGCTGTGGGGAGGACAGACTTCCGGTGATGTCAGGGGGTGTGGCATATGCTAATGAGTCCCCCTAGCTCTTTTTCTACGAAATGACCCCTGTATAGGGTAATTCCCCTCTAGACATGCAAAGGCTTGGATTTGGGAGTGGAAGCTCCATCTATCTGTCTGGTACATCTTTATCCCACTCTTCCTCCAAGGAATTCAGTCAATGGCTCTCCTTTGCCTATCTCACCTTCACAACCACCCTGTTGTGCAAGGATGAAAGACCGTGACTGGCCCAAGGTCACCTGGTGAGTTTCATGGGGACTTGAATCCAGATCTCCAAGATTCTGGTCAGACTCCCCAACCACAATGAAAACAACCCCACGGTACTTTTGCTGGGAAACAGCAGGGGGAGAAAGGCTGCCCCCTTCCTGCCTCCAATCCAAGAACCACAGTGTAAATGAGGCAACTGTCCCCTGACCTTGCAGTGGCTTAAGATGGGCCTTAGAGCCTCCAGGGTCTCAATCCGAACTTTCGTCAGGCTCCATTTGCTCTTGCCCTGACCTGGGTGGCTCAGGCTAGCTGGACCTCGTTATATCTCAGAAGCTAAGCAGGGTTGGTCCAGGTTCATATTTGGATGGGAGACCACCAAGGAAGTCCAGGGTCCCTACACAGAGGCAAGCAATGGCACGTCACATCTGAACATCTCTTGTTTTAAGTCAACTGTGACTCGACAGCACTTCCCACCACCTCCACTCTTGTACTTTCCCATTGCAATTTGCTGCCCGCTGCCCGCTAAAGAGCCAGTTTGGTGTAGTGGTTAAGTGCACGGACTCTAATCTGGGAGAGCCGGGTTTGATTCCCCACTCCTCCACTTGCACCTGGCTGGATGACCTTGGACAAGCCGTAGTTCTGACAAGAGCTGTCCTTGAAAAAGGGCAGTTTCTGTCAAGAGCTCTCTCAGCCCCGCCTACCTCACAGGGTGTCTGTTGTGGGGAGGGGAAGGGAAAGGAGTGTGTAAGCCACTCTGAGACACCTTTGGGTAGTGAAGGACGGGGTATAAATCCAATCTCTTCTTCTTCCTCATCTCCTCCTGGACAAAAGCACTTTGAAATTCTACGGGACAACAGATTTATAACACTTTTGTTGGGAGGGGTGGCAGGAACGAGGGAAACCGCCGGATTGGGGCTTGCAGCTGCCAGAGCTCAGATCCAGCCTTTTTATAAAGCTATGGGGACAACAGCATGTTCTGGGAAAGGGTGGGGGAAGACCAGGAGCCTGTCCCTCCCTCCCTCCCTCCCTCCCATCCCACTTCCAATAACAGCACTACGGGGACTTTCTTCATCCCTGACAGCAGTAAAGACTCCTTGCATGTCCACTACTCAACCTGCCTGGGGGGGTGGGGCGATTTCCCCTCTCCTTTAGGGAGGATGCAGAAATATTTTGGCATACCCCACTCAAGAGGAGAAAAAAATTCCCTGACACAAACAAACATTTTTTTTTCCTGCCTTCCTGGAAGTTTCCCCAATATGTAGACACCTCCCCATGGCTATTCCCACTGTGCTTTTAC